GTCAATAAAAATGATCTGACGCTAAACAATATTGATAATTTTGATCATCTCATAGTTGAAGAGGAATTAGAATTCTCGTTATTACATGATACTAAAAATCATATTTTTTTTATTTGTATTAATAGACCACCAATGTGTAATGTCACAGCTTTTTTATATAGATTGAATATTCTTTTGTCAAACCTTCCAGTCAATTATCAACTTATTGTAGCTGGAGATCTCAACATAAATTATGATGACAAAAATTCTGCATCTACTGAGGCACTCGACACATTGCTCTTATCATATAACTTCAAAATGTCAGTTCAAGAACCAACACGAGTCTCACAACATTCATCTTCTACTATAGACTATATTTGCACAAACCTGGATGAAGAAAAATTGACGTGCAGTGTGATCCCAGCTGGTCTATCAGACCATGAAGGTATAATTTTTAAATTCCCTATTAAAAGTAGTAACTCAAAGAAATCATTCAAGTTTGGTAGAATATACAGCTCCAAAAAGTTTAACAAATTTAAACACAATTGCGAGCAAACTGCATGGGAAGAGGTTTTGTCTTCAAGCGATTCTATAGGCGCCTTTCAAGGATTATTAACCAGACTTTTTGAAGATTGTTTTCCTAAACAGAAAATGAAGATTAAAAAGATAAATAAATCTGTGACCAACTTGAGATCACTACACTCAATACGAAAATATTTTTCCGATAAATTTTTTATAATATTTTTCAACAAATATCGTCAAATTTACAGACGGGTAATTAAACAGGCAAAAGAGATTCATTACAAGAGTAGAATAAACAAAGCTGATAATAAAATCAAAGAGAACTGGGCCACAGTGAATAGTCTAAGAAATAAATCAAATTCAATTCCAGAACACGTTAATATAAATCCGGATGAAACACTCAATATTTTTGACTGCAGAATTGCTCAAAAACTAACTTCATCCCTTGTTCCTACTTAAAATCCTATGGATTATTTAAATAATGTAAATATGACCAACAACTTTCACTTTGAAGACACAAATTTATTAGAGCTGAAAGAAATCTTGCAAGAAAATAAAAACAAAAATGCAACGGGCATTGATGAAATTTCAGGAAAAATTTTAGATAACCTTCCCGATTCCGCTTTGAATACACTAGTAATGGCTATAAATAAATCCTCTTCCCTTAGAAATTTTCCTCCGTGTCTAAAAACAGCTCTTGTAATTCCTAGTTTCAAAGGTGGTAATGCAGAAGATTCAAATAACTTCAGACCTATCTACATGCTCTCAACACTCTCAAAAATCATAGAAAAAATGGTGAAAAAAAGGGTAGGTATTAGCTTTTCTTTATAAATACAATATATTAACCAAGTGTCAATTTGGCTTTCAGAAGGCAAAAGGCACAAATGATGCAATATTTTCCTTTCTTGAACATGTCTACACACATTTCAACAATGGTGAGGTCGTATCTAGGTATTCTGCGATTTCTCCAAAACTTTTGACTGTGTAAATAATGAAATTCTTTTGCAAAAGTTGAACTACTATGAATTTCACTAGTTCGGACTTCCATTGTCTACTATATAAAATGATTTGAAATCCCTGAAACAACTAAAAAAGAAGAATTAAAAATGAATAGCTGAATAACACTATCCGAAGCAGTCTCACAAAAACTAGATCACAAAACGCGGACTGCGATTCTAAGAATTGCATTTACCAGATACCCTGCGAGTATGGAGAATCATACATCGGCGAAACCAAAAGGCCATTGAAAGTTCCCATTGCCGGGCATTAAAAATACATACATCGAGGAGAAACCAGCAAATCAGGAATAACTGAGCACGTTTGGTCGTTTGAACTCATCCCATCAAGTGGGCTCAAGCCGAAATCATCCACAAGGAAGAACACTGGTTTAGGAGAAAATTCAAAGAAGCCGCATACATGTTGTCGAACAACGCATTTAGAGATACGCAACACATGGAAACCTTTAATCTAACGGAATTCAACCAACTCCCGCCAAACGGTCAGCTTCCGCCAAAACCCATGAAGCGGTGAGAGGGATGAGAGGATAGGTGAAAGCACTCGATTGACCTACAAATCAAATCAGATAATGGAAGTCCGAAGTAATGAAATGAGGTATCACCTTTCAACGTGTGATTCTTAATATGATTTTTATTGTCAAGTAGGCGGGAATTCGGTCAAAAATGTTGAAGAAAACCAATTTCTGAATTGTCAACGTTTCTAAACTTTATTATTTCATCTTCAGGACTATTTAGGGCGGCTTTTCGAGTTGAACGGTGAAGTGAATAATTTCGACATGAAATATAAATACGTACACACGTTCCTGAGAGACTTTGACACGTTGAATTTTTAGTTGAGATTTCATCTCAACAGAACTTTTTATACAGGTAGTGTCATGTAAGAGTGGTGGACGAGTGGTAAGGGGTTGTCACCAGGAGGGGGGTTGTCGCCACTCTGATCAAACCTTGCAATGGAAGTGTTACTACGTCTTCTAGACAATAATAGATACAAATACTGGTGTATGCAGACGAGTTATTCTTCCTAGGCCAGGGCAAATATGATAATATTTTGAAGAGACGCATGCAGCACGCCGTGAATATTATAACTAAATGAACCAATGAAGAAGGACTGAATATGAGCCACGGATACGATGATAGTAGCATTTACCAAAACTGGATATTCAGGATATCAAAAACTTCGAGGTGAAGTGATGAATCTGTCAGGGGAGATCAAGTGTATGGGTGTGATACTAGATCCGAGGCTCACCTGGATCCAACATCTAGAAAGAGTTGAAAGAAAAGCAGAGGTTGCATCGATGCTGGCCAGACGTACCTACGGAAAGATATGGGAGCCTGAACCAGACATGATGTGTTAGCTTTACACCATGGTGGACATATACGTCTATGGTCTGGTGGCCAAAGACGAAACAAATGACCGCTATTAACAAACTGAGAAGAATGCAGAAACTTGCCTGTTGTGGCAGAATAACGTGATCAATGAAAATCATTCTTTCAGCTGCAATGAGACACTCTTGAACCTTCCCCTTTTACATCTAGTAATAATGGGGGAACAAGGGTGGACCAAATCAGACTGAAAAGCTCATCGAGTCTCATGGGGTCGGGACGAATAGAAATTTCGGAATATGAGGAGAAATGAACATCGAACATGTTCTCGGATCTCATGTCACCCAAATACATGTTCGACAGAAACATCTCGGTTTTGAAGTTTCAAACCGCGAAGAGTGGAGAATTTACTGTGTGTACACAATATACATCAGTCTTCTAGGTTGAAATGTATGCAATTTTGCAATGCACAAACAACATCAATTTGAGGTCTCAACTAGATGAGCTTCATCGTAAATACATGTGACAACAACATACATAATGTGATAAGTGATCCTTTCATCCGCCACAATTTATATGTTCTTTCTGAAATCATGGAGCGATTTTGCACATTATATAGTCATTCGATATCGTTACTGGAGATTCTCAAAACATTCCAAACATACAAATCTTCTTTATTTATTACGTCAAGTAGCTACAGGCTACCATATTTCCGTTATTTGTTCAAGATTGACCCTTACTAAGTACAGAGGACAGAATAATGGTGAATATTTGGAATGAGACTGAACTAAATATATCAATAGGCAAAGCAGTTGCCATCAACGAAAACAGTGTACCAAGAGGTACGTGGCTAATTTTTGTGTTAGAAAGGTCTGTAAAGAAGAAGATGAAGTTATGAGTGTCGCTTAAATAAGGACACCACTTTGTTTTTCATACGTCTTGACTGGCTATCAATATCGATGGAAGAAAATAGTACTGATTAGAGTAATCTATTGAAGGAAATGGGAAATTTTCATTTTCAATTTGTCAGTGTGCTGATTTCTTTCCTTAAGCAGAATGCATTGTCATTTTCATCCGGATATAAATTTGTACCCTCTAAAATTCTGGATCTAAATTTTGGGAAACACACTCATTTTCACCTCCAAGTTAGCATTATTTTGCATATTTTAGATAACAATTTCATTGAATTCTTGTATATTACGCAAATATTGGTACTGCAGAAAATAGTCCCCACCGCCTTCGATTATGTCAATCACAGTTGGTATCAAACATCTGGCATAAAAACCTGTTCACCTCAGCCAACAAACACGAAAATAAGTAGTTCATGAATGATTTCTTGAGAACACAATATTCTTTCTTTCCTAAGAATTTTGAATTTCGAATTGTATACCTCTCACTCTCTTTTTTTTCTCCCTCTCTCTCACCCTCTCTCTCTCAGTAATAAATCGAAATAATGGTGTGATACGCTAATAACTATATATTTTTTTACAGATGGAACTTGTTACATGCTCCGGTTTAACTTCCATTTATGGATCAATATTTATCCTGTCTCTATTCCACTCTGTAGCAGTAACTTCTCATAACAAGGTAAGTGCAATAAATATTAAAATTTTTATGACTATCAAGTCACCTTTTATGTTCATAAGATATTTCACGTTTTATATATATATATATATCTGAATAGATTATAATTATACTATTAGGGTATACTCAAGAAAACAACAAATCACCATTTGATTAGGTAATATGTAAATAAAGATTATTCATCTTCATTTTCTCTTTATTGTGGAGTCCCTTTATAAGTATCTCAACCTTTTTACCTGCCCATAATTTAAGAAATCAGATAATTCATGCCAGTTATTACAACGAAATATTCCTCAATTTATTGTTATTAGAATCTCATATTATATAATCATCTCAATGAAAGATCATACAAAAACATAAATACATAATATATAATGAATATGATCAACACTTGACGCCTGACCCTCGTAGACACACTTTCGAGTAAACATATTGTTCGCGCTGCTGACTGACCCTCGTATAACGTATTTCTGCTGGTAGCCGCATGATTTACGACCGCTCGCAAAAAAAGCGGCATATNGATAAAAAAAATATATATATATAAATAACATAAAATTTAAATAAATTTACTGAAAAATGGAAACAAGAAAAACAAAGAAGAGCCAACAGCCAGAACAGACTACTGAGAAAAATGTGGAAGAGGTACAGCAGGAAATAGGAGATACCATCATGAAAGAACCAGTAAGACAAACACCGGTGGACATGAATGAATTGTTCGAAAGACTGGAACGATTGAGGAAAGAAGAAATGAAAATTCAAAAAAAACAACGAAATGAAGATATGGAAAAATTGGAAAGAATGAGAAAAGAAGAAACAGAAACCAGGAAAGAAGATATGGAAAGATTGGAAAGAGTAAGACAAGAAGAAATGGAAAAATTGGAAAGAAAAAGGAATGAAGAGATGAAGAAGTTATTTGGAAAAATTGATGAACAAACAAATAATGTAAAGAAGTCAGAAACAGAAATTAAAATCAACCATAATAATTTGAAACAAGAATTAGCAGAATATACAAGGACTATTGAAGAAAAGGTCAAAACAATTTCACAGGAGGTGGAAGATCATAGAAAAGAAAGTAAAGAATACATTGATCAGGTACATGGAAGAATAACTATTGTAGAAGAAGGATTGGTACAAGAAGTAAATACAAGGAGAGAATAGAGTGGGCTTGAATAAAAAAATAGATAGGGAAAATAAATTAACTAGAGAAAAGTTTAAAGAACATGAAAATTATATAAATGAAAAAGTAATTGATATTAACAATAAAATAAAACAAACGGAGAGAAACCTAAGTAATAGAGAAGAATCAATAAGACCAATTATAGCTATAGGTAATGAAAATGAATTAATATTCAATGGAAACATTAAAAGACAACATCCAGTACCTTTCATAGAATTCATGACAAGTAAATATGAAAATTTGGCTTCCAATTTATTGGAAGTCAATTGCAGGAAGAAGCATTATTGTGGTTCACAAATAAAGATAAAGAATTGACCAATTTTGACCAATTTTCAAATAAAATTTTGAGCTATTTCTGGGGACCTTCCCAACAAAAGTTAATAAAAGATGAATTGTTGGGGGGAAAATTCAATTCAAATAGAGGAACATCTTACCATGAATATGCTATGAAAATATATAGTGCACCACAGTATTTAAATTGCAATTTTACTGAAGAATATATAGTCAACTTAATAATCCAACATTTTGACAATAATTTAGAGGAGATTATGATGCTGTACAATTTTAAAGATATGGATAGTCTATGTCAATTTTTGATGACACATGAAAGAAGAAGAATCAATTACAATAATTTTCAAAATAGGGTCAATCAAAATAATAATAGACAGGAATATGCTAATAGAGAAAGGGATAATAATTATAATAATCGGAATCAATACAATCAATCATATAGGAGACAGAATAATAACAGAAATGATAATAATAATTATATAAATGACAGATATTACAATAATAGAACACAAAATACTAATAGATACAATAATATGAATTTTACTAATAACAATAATAATAATAGTGCATATAGCAATAACAATAACAGATATGGACAGAACAGGTACAATAATAATAATAACAGATACTATAACAACAATAATAACAGATATAATAACAATAATAATAGGAACAACAATAATAATACATACAGACACAGAGCTAATAGTACAGACAGACAAAATTACAGAGACAATAGGGATTGCGATGACGAAAGAAATGATGACATGTACAGACATAGGAGAAGTAGAAGCGTAGAAGAAATCAGACAGCTAAACAATATACAACGGACACACGCTACGAATGAGGTACAGAGTAATAATAATGAAGTATAAATTACAAATCAACAAAATTTTTAGTAAAATAAATAAATAACTCATCTAATATGAACATACATTTAAAATATTACAATAATAGTAAACATACAGAGGTGCATTACTTTTACAAGAGTATGATCTTGAGAAGAAACATACTAAAGGTAGAGATAATATAATAATACATGCATTAACAAGATCAGATGGCAAAGTAAAAAGAGAAAGAACTTTACAAATTGGTGTAAATATATTAATGAACCAACAGGGAATATTTTCAATGAATGAAATTATAGAAGATCAAAATAAATTAGAAGCAAAAGATATAATTAAATGTAAAAAAGCCAATGGTATTTGGATAAAGATCATAAATGATCAGGAACTATATGTAATCAGTAATGAATTAGCTTATAATATATTGAAGTATTTACATGAACATAATGGTCATCCTGAAGTGAGAAAAGTATGGATATTGTTTAGGGAAAATTATTTTTGCAGAAAAGATATCCAAATAACCAAAGATTTAACAAATAATTGTAACATTTGCCAA